CTAGGTAGTTATTACTCTATTCCTGGGCGATAGGTCTAATAGCTTTTAACGCGTCTTGTGCCTAATAGTCCGCGCTTAATAGCTCTAAAACGCCTATATATTTATAGTGTATTATTGCTATTTTCTAGCTTATAACCTAGCCGTCTATATCCTTAGGTATAGTCTTTATAGGCGTGGTGTATCGTTAATACAGGACTAAGGCTTCCTTACGGAGGTCTATCGGGGTTAGTCCTATGTACGCGTGCAGGAGAGTAATCTAAGCCCGTGGGTTATTTACGGTATTATCCTATGGCTAGGCGAGGAGGCTACGTAACGTGGTATAGACGGTCCTTTTGATATAGGAGCGTACCTCGTTAAACTCCTTCTATTACGCGTTATAGTCTGCCTTTTCCTCGCGGTATACACGGCGATCTTATAGGTAGCGTGTACGCCCCTTTTTAGAGAGGTCGTCGATAGACGTGGGCGTCCTTATCGTTAGTTTTTTCGTTACGGCTATAGCCTTCCGGCGTATGGCCGTCTTTTTCTTACCGGCTACCGTGGCCGTTATAGTAGCGGCCGCGTCCGTGGCCTCCGTGGCCTTATCGCCCTTTAGCGTGATAGTGGAAGACGGAGTAGCCGTGGCGTCCTCTGTTATATTAGGGTCCACGGTAAAGGCTTTACACTTACGAATATTAGGTGGTATAGGTAAAGGGAGGAGGTAGGCGTTAGCCTCCTCGTCGCTTAGCTTTAGATTAAGATAGTTATCCTAGTAAGAGGCGGATTTACTGCGTACGGCGCGCTCCTATACTACCTAATCCCTCTAGTTAACGAGGGTAGTGGCGGCCGCCTTCTATTCGGCGTTAGATACGTGAGAAGATATCTGTACTAGCTTATCGTTTATCGGTTAGTTAATAGGTACGTTAATTAATCTCTTGATTACTCTAATTAGGTCGATAGTAGTTATTTAAGAGTGCTTATATAGACGTGATTCCTTTTCGTAGTGGAATAGGGGTAGCCTTATTAATATCTATCGTTTAGCCGTTATAAACCGGGCTTATATCTATCGCACGTTAAAATAGGCACTTAAATAATTAACTTAGTAGAGCAGGAATCTCGTGTGTGTGTATTATATTAAGTTATATCTAGGAGAGTCTCTTATACCCTTAATTTAGGTGGTGAAGACTCTGTTATGGGTATTAAGTCATTTGGATCCTATCCAGTCTTTTCCGGTATCCGCCCCTATTATATCCGAAGCCCTTAGTCATGGCGTGGATCCCCCCTGGATCCCCTATAGACCACGTCGTGGTCCGTGTGCCCATGCGACAAAAGACTCCTCCGTAGGTAGCAAATTAGAAACTAAATTAATAGGTTTATTATTACTTATTTTCCCTAGGAGCTTCTATTACTCATAGAGACGGAAGAAATTAAGTATTTCTATCTCTCGTAATAATAGCTTCGATGGTTCCGTCTTCTTCTTCAGAGGCTTTTTATTTTTATTTACCCGATTTTAGGTATTTTTTCTTAATCCTTAATTTCCCTTAATTCCCTAGCCTATAAGGGCCTTTTTAGGGTATAGAAAGAAATAGTTTATTGGTAGATACCTAGATCTTTTATAGTTACTATAGAAGAGGTTCTTCTGGTTCTTCTGCTATTAGCCGCTATTCGACTATTTTCTCTGAATTTTGTAAGCTTTTATAAGTAAGGCCTTTAAGATGGAAGAGTCGATTTTCCTTAACGTATATATTAATTGCGTAACGACTTTATCGAATATATAGCTATCGATATTGTGCCGAAGAGCCTATATGATCTACGAGGTAACTGCGTCGTAACGCTTAGTAAGGTGGTTTAGAGTCTAGGTAAAAACCACCTTATTAGTAGAATTATATCCTTTCCTTAAAGAATAATTAGTCTTTCTTAGACTTTATATAAAAAGTCCTCGAGTATAGGGAATTCTAAGATATCTAGGTTAAAAAATAATATAAGGATATCGTAGTCTACTTAAAAACTCTTTTTCTCGTATAGGGATTTTAACTTATCCTAGATTTCTAAAGTCCTAAACCTGCGTTAGAGACCTGTCTTATAAAGCGGAGAGTAGATCTTTAGTAGTCTTTAAATCTTCTTCTTTTACCTTAATAAAGGTATCTTTAGGCAGGGGTTTTATAAGCTCTTTTAGAAGCTTTCCCTTTTATGCAAAGTAAGTATATATAGCTATCGTCGAAGTTTAGCAGTCCTAACTACCCTTCAGCTTCTTCACGTTAATTGCCTTCAGTTTAGCCTGCGCGGGTATCTTAAGAGCTCCTAAACAGTATTTATTTTATTTATTTTAGATAAGAACTAACGAAGTTATACTATAAATAAAGGAAAAATAGTCCTTTTCTTTATTATTTTCTTTATTCTAAGTATAGACGTGGTTACTATAGTGATACCTTTACTCGTGCGGGTCTAAAGTGGAACCAGTATATAGTTCTTTATTCTAAAAAAGGAAAAACAGCTTCGTAGATAAAGAAAACGATACCCGTATATACGGATAACAGGATTCCTGTATTTCTAAAGATAGTATTTCTTTATTCCGGCGGACTCAAAGTGGGGCCGGTTAAATTCCTTTATTCGCGAGGATCCTAAAATAGGTCTTCGCGGAGCGAGGGGATTCACGGTCGCGTAGAAAACACGATATTTATATAGGATTCCACGGTCGGAAAATATATAGGTATAGAAATGTAGGTAGAACTAAAGACTTATAAGCAATAAAAGATATCCTAGTATTAATAACTAGAATAGCCCTCGTAGTAACGTGGTTATAGTATCCGTACGTAAAGAATAGTATACCCGTTTAATTTACGTAATCGTAGGCTTTTATGACTTTTCTATAGATTTTATAGATTTATAAGCGTACGACTAAGCTAACCGACCGATTAAACCGAAGGATCGTAGATATATGTATATAGATATATAGATAGGTAGGTTAGTAGGCAGATAGGTAGGTAATATCGGTAGTATATAAAGAGAAATATCGGATAGAAATAGGGACTATTATTTAGAATCGGGGGATTCTCTTTTTAGCTTACGACTATAGGTAATTAAGGAATACGTTATATCGAGATTTTAGTCGAGCTTTTCCGGGCTTATAACCTTTTAAATATCTTTAACGATATCGGATAAGCGGAAGGGACGAAAGTTACGAAAAGTAGTAGAAAAATACGAAGGTAATAATAGAATTATAAGGTAGGATCTCTACGCGCGTATTATGTCTTCTTCAGATTGAGAAAGTGATTAAGATAAAGGATTAAGAATAAAGAATAAAGAAAGGAAAGAACCGAACCGAGGGAACGGGTTAATATCCTTTATTCTTTATAAAAGGATCGATATCGTAATAGTATTATAATAAAGATCGATATCATAGTAATATCGTAATCCTTTATATCCTTTATCTGACTCGTATCAGATAAACTGACTCGAAAGAGAGCGGTCTAGGCTTACGGGGAAGATATCCTTTATACGAGTACGAAGAATATACTCGAAGGATATTAAGGATATTATTAGTAATAATAATAATATCAACACTTATTATTAACGTAGGTATTAGATCTCGACTCGTATTTTCCGGTCAGAGCGTACTCTAGCTTATTATACTACTCTAGCTTCTATATATATTCGCGTCGATAGGGGTAATTAGTGCTCTTCTTCTTAGGCTTCTTTCCGCCTTTATAAATATCTAAATAGTCTCTTAGGGTCACGTAAACGCCGTAACGCGTGCTAGTTATAGTTAGAGCGCTTATAATAGTGTTAAGCTCGCGGCTATATATTAGAAGATTAGAAATCTTATCGCCGCGAACCTTTTTTACCACTAGCTCCTAAAGCTTAGTTTCTACCTAAATAAGCATAAACTTCTATCTAATTATTATAAAAAGTTCCGAATAGTAGTAGGTCCTTTAATCTCGGCTACCTTGTACTAGTATACGCGTCTAATAAGGGTATTCTACTCCGTATACCACGTAGCCACTTTAGTATTAGCTTAACGAGTATCTTATAGATACTTTTCGTATACTTATCCTACCTCTTCCTTTATATAAATACTACTTAGAGCGAAGCTATTCTTAAGTTTCTATATTCGGTGCCGTAATATAAAGTATCGGTTTTACTTTTCTTTATCGTAGCCGGGATATTTCTTTATAGCCTCTTCGATAGCCTTAATAAAACGACTAAGCTTTTAATTCTAGGCTATAGTCTACTAATTCTCGATTTCCGCGAGGCGTATAAGCTCCTACGTTAAGGGTATAATAGTATCGTCGCCCTCGCATTAAGAATACTATTAGTATAGTTAATTCAGGGATTTAGGTATAATATACTTAGGGCAGTTAACTAGCTAATCCTTTTAGCTAGGATCGAGTAATGCCTAGACCTCTATCCCCTATATATACGACTAGATATAGTAGATCTAATCGGCGTATTACTGCGTGGATTTAAGGCGCGGGATACCGAGCGCTTTAGCCGTGATCTTAAGCTTATTCGATATAGTATCGAGTAAGGGTTTAGCGAATAAAAGCTTATCGTTAAGAGAGAGAGTATAAGAGAGCTCTATAATATTATAGAAGTATATAAAATAAATAGATAATAGATTAGCAGGAAGTTACTAGTTACTACTACTACCCGGACTTATAACTATTAAATTAACGGGAGTATACTTATATAAAGCGTTAATTCAGGAAATATATTATTATATTAAGTATAAAAGAGAAAGAGCAAGGGGGCGGGTATATATATTCTAAATATATATACTACCTTCTAAGCGAGGATAGTGGGGCACCTCCAACCAATAGGAGGTCACTATACCGTGGCTCACATACTAGAATATGACAGCTTAGCCTAGTTTCCTCTTCCGGATCGTAGGAGATCTGACTCCACTAATGCTGCAGCCTGATTGGCTGCTGGTTGTGGTCACGTGACTACCCGCAATATGTGGCACTGAGTAAGGTACACAGCGGTAGGTACACTCCGTAGGTGGGATAGCCTCGGGCCGTCTCCAACCGTATCTCATATGGAATCCAACCTAGCCGAGAATCCCTTCCTGGTCATCAGTCGCTGGTCCCCTAATCTTTCACTGCAAGATACAAGCTGCTACGCCTTTTCTAAAAGTTCCGCTTACGAGCATCTTTGATGTCCAGTTTGAAGGCCATTTCAAACCACCATGATCGTGACGGCAGCTACCGGAAAAATGTCAATATGTGCAGTTCGAGCACCTCTTCTACGGCGATCATTCCTCCCAAATCTCGGTGCGCGAAGCCTTCTGTCGACTCTGGCTCTTCTTGAACAGAGGGGTGGACAGCTCAACCGTGGATCCCTAAGTGCTGTATCGGCAGCAAAGAAACTGGGTGGTCCAGTCCATGGGTTTTTGGCTGGCGAGAACGTCACAGGCGCTGCCGAGGAAGCTGCCAAAGTCCATGGGATCGAGAAGATCCTGGCCGTCGATAATGAAGCTTACGAAAAAGTTTGGCAATCTCTGTCCACCTTCGGCAATCTGCTTCGACGACAATTTTCTGACCTGTCTTGTATTATGTAGGGACTCCCCGAGAACTTCGCACCCCTACTTGCGGAGAACATAAAGAAAGGCGGTTATACCCATGTCATTGCTAGTCACACCGCCTTCGGGAAGAATCTTATGCCCCGCGTGGCAGCTTTGCTTGACCTACAGCAGATCTCCGACGTAGTGGATATTGCAGACGAAAGCTCGTTTGTTCGCCCGATCTACGCTGGCAACGCCATAGCAACTGTGGAGTCCATGGACCCTATCAAGGTCATCACCATTCGAGGCACGGCGTTCCCGGCCTCTGAAGGCTCAAGTGGAACAGCAGCGGTAGTGAAGGGAGTTGACCCCCAACAGGGCTCTTCCACCGAATGGGTATCCGAAGAATTGACAAAGTCAGATCGGCCCGAACTTTCTACAGCTAGCAAGGTCGTCTCTGGCGGCAGGGGACTCAAGTCGAAGCAAGACTTCGATAATGTCATTCTTCCACTGGCAGATGCGTTGGGCGCGGCCGTAGGCGCATCAAGAGCCGCCGTCGATAGCGGCTATGCCGACAACAGCCTCCAGGTCGGGCAGACAGGAAAAGTGGTAGCGCCCCAGCTATACATGGCAGTGGGAATCTCAGGGGCTATTCAGCATCTGGCTGGAATGAAGGACAGCAAGGTCATTGCAGCTATCAACAAAGACGCCGATGCCCCGATTTTCCAGGTCGCTGACGTCGGACTAGTTGGCGACTTGTTCCAAAAGGTTCCCGAGTTGACAGAGAAGCTAAAGCCATAGGCTTTCTAAGATAGGTACATAATGCTACAGAGTATACGATGACAAAGCGCCATGTCCTCGGGAGACAGTTTGGAGCATTTCACTGGTCCTTGTGAATTTCTCTCGCTGTTTCCCTTTCAGTCGGCCCCTCTCCTTTTCGGCCTGGTCGATCTTCTTCCAGGCCGCCCAGTCTACTACATTGGACTTACCGCCCGGCAACTCTTTGCTTAGACCGTCCCAGCCAGATAAAGGCGACGACTCGCTTCGGGGCAAGAATGCTCTCCCGGACAGCCAGTCCTGGATAAGTGAATCGGCTGTGTCAAATGCATCCTGCATTGTCGAAGCTATTACTCCAGTGGGGCCTCTCTTCACCCATCCGGCACAGTAAAGGCCGGGGAACAGCTCCGGAATCGACTGCGGTTGCCCTGGAGATGATCGGAGGACCCGTCCGCATCCATCGCTCATTACAACTCCTCGCTGGCCGTCAAACAGAACCCCAAGTTCATCGAAGCCTGGAAGGGGTTCTGACTTGTATCCGATGGAGCGAAAGACCAAAGAGGATGGGATTGCCACTTCGGAATCTGTCCTTCGAGTCTGAGCATCAGGGTCGAATTTCGATGAGAGTTCAGTTCGTTCTAGGACCGTGGTTCCAACATTGTCTGGAGAGTTCTCACGGGGTAGAAATCTCGACGGAGACAGACAAAAGTCTAGAGACCATGACTTAAGCGCCGTAGACGGAGACACCGGAGTGCCTTTGACGATCACCTCCATCAGTCGCCTAGGTGCCCTGGGTAAGGACTGGAGGTTATCGGGGATGAGAGATCGCTCTGCTGGGTGGAAAGCTACCGCAGGGATCTTCATTAGCTCCCGGACCTCTTTGATTGTGAATGCAGCCTGGGCCCAGTTAGGACATCGTCCATTCTCAGGAATGGTAACACGCGAGCTAGCTAACGTACCTGCATGGGGCCTCTTCTTCCAACCACATGAACTCGTCGCACGCGGGACCGGGACAACGTCTCGAGGGCCTGTTCGGGCATATCTGTGTGCCGTAACCTGTCGACATTTTCCAGCAGTATCCGGGCGACGTCCAATGCGACATTGCCTTGTCCAATTATGACGGCTTCGTCGCCTTTGGAGAGGTCCGGCATCAAGTCCGCGCAGTTCGGTAGCCCATTGTACCAGCCAACCAATTGGCGGGCCGAGTAAATTCCGCTCAGGGTGTCCTCCCCGGGTATGCCAAGGAGTCGATCTCTGGATGCGCCGTATGCCAGGAGGACGGCATCGTAATGCCGCAGCATGCTCGAGAGGCCAACAGAACAGCTGCCATCGTGTTGTCCGGCCTCGGCCACGGACGTATTGCCAATAAATGTAAAGTTGCGGGAGCTGGCAATTTCTTCAAACCTGAGTTGGCAGTTCTATCACAGGCACGCTGATATCAGTTATCCCGAAGACCAATTATCGCAAAAGGACGGCAAGCTACAACGAGCGTACCTTCACTTCAGGATGATCAGGTGCCACTCCGAATCGGACGAGTCCAAACGGCACGGGTAGTGACTCGTACATATCCACCCGGGACCCAGGAAGACGAGACAGGATTCTCTGTGCTGTATAGAAGCCCGCCGGGCCGGACCCCACGATAGCCATCCGGAAAGGCGCATCCGCCTGGCGCGGCACTTTCATGCTACTCCCCCGAATAGCGCTGGAATGGTGCAATTTTACAGTACGGACTGCCGTGGGTTGGGTTCGGTATGTTCTGAGTGGCGCTGGGCTTCGAAGCCAGTGTTTCAATCCCCTGGACGGCATGCTGGCCATGCCAACGCTAGGCCGCTCGCTCAGGGACAGACCTGTGTTATGTCGCTGCTATTTCCTGTACAGTGAGTGAGCAAAAGTTTCCGGATAACCTAAAGTAGAATGCTTCGAAGCTTTTGGGGAACACTTTTCTATTAGTGGCAAAACCATATCATACCACAAAAGTAACGAATCACTGGATCTTTGAAATATACCGAAATTATTGCTCACCCACTGTAATTTACACGCAGAAGAGATGGCACGCTATGATTCTGCGGCATTCTTGGACAAGCCCAGCCGACTCAGGCACTCCTATGCTGTTCGGTCGTCGTGTCCTCCAAGCGAACTACACCAACACTCAACCAAGAAACTACTTTTGGAGTTGTCCCCCCAGTTTCGGAAAAGTCTTCCCCGAGCTACGTTATATCGCATGGGCACAGACCATGCATGGCACACTAAGGGCTTCGGACCTTGGGGGACCTCGGGTAGCAGGATATAAGTCAGACCACCCTAATCCGGCCCCCCCCTGAATATGGCCACCCAAACCACACCAAAAAACGGGATTTCGTACCCCTGTTATTTCACTAACCGTAAAAGTAAACTCTATAAAATTAAGATATTACGTAGATAGTAATACGGTTATTAGATATATTATTTTACGTTTTCTATATACTTAAGCTATAAGCAGGAATTAGAGCTAGAAGTCTCTCTTAGTCCCTGTTAGTGATATCTAGTAATTTCTTAGTAAACCTTAACAGATTAAAGAATTCTATAATAAGTAAATAGAACTAAAACACTATAAGTACTATATCCTATAATTCGTATAAAGTACGATATAATATATATCTTAAATCGTATATTTATATTCTATATTAGTTCTTACGTTATTTAAGACAAGACTATTCTCCTAATACACTTTAGTATAGCAGAAACTTAATTTTAATATATATAATTAAGGGTAGCATAGTTAAAACTTCCGACTTCACTTTCGGAGAGTCCGTAACTTATAGATATTTCTAAGATATAATAGCTATAGTTTCCTACTTCTATTAATTTAGTGTAGAATTTTCTATTTTATTAAGGTTTACTAAGAGATTGTAAGATATCACTAACAGGTAACTTCTAAGTCTAATTCTAGCTTATATCTTTAGTTTATAGAAAAAACAAAGTTATATATCTAATAACCGTATAACTATCTACGTAATATCTTAATTTTATAGAGTTTCCTTTTACGGTTAGTAAAATAACAGGGGTACAAAATTCCGTTTTTTGGTGTGGTTTGGGTGGCCATATTCAGGGGGGGGCCGGATTGGGGTGGTCTGACTTAATTAAGGGCGGATACCGGAAAAGACCGCATGGGGTCCAAATGATATAGTACCTATAGTCTAACCCCTGAAAAAACGTTCAAAGTGGTACTTGCGGAGCCTGAAAAACCAATGGTATCGCGACAACGAGTGGAGTAGAATACAACTAGATACATTAAAAATGGAGAGTTTTCTATGTAAAATACAGGGGTTGAGATGTACTAAACTAGGGGAACTTAGTATCCTGTTAAACCACCTTGTAGCTCCCTAACACGCTAAAGTCTCTAAGGCATCGTATTAGTATCTTACTCGAATTAAAAAGAGAAATCACTTCTTATATAGGAATATCAAGTAGTGACTGAATCTTTTTGTATAGTAAATAGCAGTAGATCCATTTCGGATTGACTTCACGATATCCTGTGGTGGTGTTGTAAGATTTTTATATTAGTGCAGGTACATTTCTCGAACCTTCTTTAACTTCTTAAAAGGGTAGTTGAAGAAGGTATACTTTAAACGTTTTTTCAGGGGGTATATAGTATAATAGAGTCTTTACCACCTACATTAAGGGTATAAGAGACTAACATAGATATAACTTGATATAATATATATACAGGAGATTTTAGCTTTATTAGGTTAATTATATAAGTGCTATTTAATGTACGATAGTTATAAGCCCAGTTTATAACGCCTAAAGAATAGATATTAATAAGGCTACTCTATTCTACTATAAAAGTAATTATATTTTTAGTATTCTTTAAATAACCTACTTACTTACCTACCTATTAATTAAATAACCGATAAATAAGCAAAGATATCTTCTAAAATATCTAACGCCAAATAACAGGCTACTACCCTTTTTTTCATTTTTTCATTTAATACGTGTATACAGCCCTTAAGCTATAACACGAGTCTATTAAGGAGACTAAGCCTATGACGAGTATCTAGTTATTTATGTAACTTATATATAAAAGTAAAGAATATACGAAGCAGAATTATTAGTCCGGGACTTATCCTTAAGTAGTGGTGCGCGCTCCCCGTAGTTCCCTAGGCTCTAGGGCTTGATCGTAGTAATAAGTGTATAGGTACGCTTAATTACGCGTGATAGGGTATATACCCTCCCCCCCTAAGGAGGGTACATACTAGAGGCAGTGTGGTTCCACTTATTAGCGCGTAAGGTAATAAATATCTCCCCGAACTTACGGGGACCCCTATAACGTGCAGGAGCTCCGGGTAGGTCGCGCGCGAATTTAAAAACAAATCGCGCACGATTAAGGGGAGTGGGATTCGAACCCACGGCCTTATGCGGCCACTAGGCGTGTCTACTACCTACGCTATCCCCCCACTACTACCCTTATTAACTAGAGGGATTAGGTATTATAGGAGCGCGCTATACATAGTAAGTCTACTACCTGCTAGGATAACTATCTTAATCGTAAGCTAAGGGATAAGGAGGCTAACGCCTATCTATTATTTAAGTATATACTACCCGATATTCGTAAATAGGAAGCCATTATCGTTAACCTCGAGGCTATAGCGGAGGAGGCTATAACTACTTCGTCTTCTATTATTTTAATAGAGGGCGATAACGCTACTAATATCTCGGGCTAAGATCCTATTATAACCGCTACTACCATCACGGCTACTACTACTCTACTATTATTATTACGGCCGCCGGTATACAGAAGAATATAACCGCTTATAAGAAGACTATAACCATAACAAAAAAAGTAATAATTAAGATTATCCTTACGTTTATTAGCGACCTCTGAAAACTAATACACGTGGTACTTATAAGATCGCCGCGTATACCGCGAGGAAAAGGCTAATAACAAACTATAGTAAAAAGAGCAGTATAAGATACGCTTATATATCCCGGCGATTATCTATACTATATTATATAACCTCCTTATATAGCTATAGGACGGTAATATAAATAACCTGCAGGCGTATCCCTTCTCTACGAGTAAGCAGGACTAACCCCCGTAAACCTCTGTAAGAATACCCTAGCCTTATATTAATAGTATACCTCGCCTATAAAGGCGATACCTAAGGATATAGACGCGTGGGCTATAAGCTGGAAAATAGCGATAATACACTATATATATATAGGCGTCTTAGAGCTAATAAGTGTAGACCGGTAGTTTAAAGATACGTTAAGAGCCGTTAGACCTATCGCCCATAAATAGAGTAATAACTACCTAGTAAGTAATTAGGATAAGATTACAGAAAACGAACTAACGATTAAGGACTTTATAAAAGCTTTAATTGCTATTCTTAATAAGAAAAAGCCTCTAATCTGCCGCTATAAACCCTAGAGTTAGGAGGGGCACCTTTAATACCCTCGGATACCTCCCTAATATAGAGGATACTACTACTAATAACGAAGATAATAAGAAGCGATCTTATAGCGATACGTCTATAAAAGGCTATCTCTCCTACGATAAGAAGGCTATACAAGATCTATAAGACCCGCCTATTAGTATATAAGGCTAGATATACGCCCTTATAGCCAGTGCGGCCGTGAAGATATTATAAAGGTTATAGAGAAGAAGATACGTAATTATAGTTTTAAAAGCCACGGGGAGATCTCGATATAGAAAAGGCCAGAAGCCTTAGGGTCCACCACCGCGAGTAAGATAAAAGAGGTGCCTTAGTAAGATTAACTGTATAATACTATAACTACTATACCTACTACGTAATCAAATCGGCTGAGATTATATCCTATAAGAAAAAGTGGCGCGCCCCTATACGATAATGTAATTAAGATTATAATGATTGGGAGTATCCCTTTCTATCCACTAAGCTAAAGCACTACTATACTACGTGATCCTAGACTTAGGGTTATTAATCTACGTCTTTAACGATCGATGCCGTTTTATAGCCGTTAGACTACCTAAGGGTGCTTTATCTTTATCCTTCTAGGTAGGTACCTATAAGGTTTCGCACGTTAAAATACACTCTTCTGACTCTTCTGACTTAGGGGAAATCTTCGCGTGTGTGTATTATATTAAGTTATAACTTGTGCGAGACCGTTTACCCTATTTCTATAAGGGGCAGTACTCCTCCGAAAGTACTACTCTATTTAGATCCTATCCGGTATTTTACCGTGGGTCCACCCTTATTATTTCCTAATCACCGAGGCCTATACCCACTCCTAAGGCTCGTGCCTACCTCCGACGCTCATGCCAATACGACACACCCCCCTAGTTAAAGCAGATCCACTTTTCCGGGCTAACTAGCTAATCAGATGCCTCGGTTTAAACGAACAGCTCCTAATCCTTTCAATCGTGAAAACAGTCTATCTTAAAAATAATCCTCGAAAAGGCTCTTAAAAACGCTCTTAAACTGATCCTTTTAATCATTTAATTTAATCTTAATCCCCGGCTTCTAATTAGCCCGATTAGGTCTACCGCCGCCTGTTTAATCCTATTATAGGGACGCTCTAGAGGAGCTCCTATAATAACAATAACACGTTTAAATCCACCCCCCATAGGCGTAGCCGTTAGTTATATCTCCCGCGGGCGTAGCCGTTAGTAGGTATCTTTTAGTAGTATCTCCGCAGTAATAGCGGTGCCGAGGGTATCTCTA